ATTTGTTATATTGATACTTACATATTGAAATGTGAAACACAATGAATAATTCGTGTTATAATGAACTACTAAGAATAGCAGAACATACATGTGAGATTCTTTGTAGTGTTAAGGTTATAATTTTCACATACGCATTAAAAAAATATGTATGAATTGCATGCACTTGGATACTAAAATTATAACAGGTTTTTATCGAATTATAAATAAATATGCATGTTACCATATTTATTAAAAAATAGCTTTAATTATGAATCGATTAAAAAGATTTTAACTCTACTCTATAAAGGATTTGACAACTATTACAGTTCACATTTTAAAGTTTTCTACATAATTTCAATTGGTTAGTAAATAAATGCATTTTAACTCAGTACATGTTCGTAGAAACTAGGTATTAGTCACTTGTAAATTGTAGGTAGAGCTAGTAAATACTATAACAATTAAAATTTAAACTTCTCTTTTAATTCCCAATACACAGAATGCCTAATGTCATGATTTGCTTCCTGGAATAATGGCCGAGGATTGACTGAAGACTAGACAGTATTTTAGCTCTGCTTTTTTGCTATGTCCTGTACATGGCATAAATGCACTCTAGACCAGACAGATTATGTAACAATATAGGGAAGAGCCAGGGGGCATTGCACAGACTAGAAAAAGTAAATTCTGAGATATCTCCATGGTTATTAATAAGACATCCAGGGAGTTATGACATACGTACTCCTCACATAAATAGTTGTCTATAGCATCATGTACAGTTTAAAAGTCAATAAAATTTGATTTCAGAATATAATTATTTAGTTCTTGTATAGCTTATATTGCTATTAGGAAAAAATTGGCCTCGGTGATCTACGGGTTTAGCACACCGATTTACTTCGATTGGTCGCAAGTTCGATTCATACGATGTGACGTAACTAGATAACTTCATCGGTTGCCACTTATTATTAAGTAAACTATTTATACACTAATCTGATTAAAGAAAAATAAAACGTATATTATTTACAATTAGGTATAGTTAAATTTCGCATTCGTTTCAGTTATGTTATCTACAAAAAACGGCTAAGCAGGTCTTTAATGAAAGGTTTGAAGATAGATTTTGTCACCAGGACTTATGTATATAGGCAAAATTTCAATGTTTCACCTCAAAAAAAGCATACATCTCGGGTAACACTAGTATATATTGTATAATAACAAGAATTCATAGTAAGAATAATAAAAGACAAAGGGTAAAAATATGTATACACATAGTGCCTATCTGCAGATGCCTACTTATTATTGTACAATACAATCTACAAATATACAAACTTTCAAATACGTGTATTTGCTTATACAAACAAGAAAGTTAGCGAACAATATAAAAGTAATGGGATAGAGTGAAACGGATGTATTCACTGAACATCAGTAAGAGAGAGACGACGGTATTCAAATTGAGGATACATATTTCTACGTAGCTAACAAATAGCTTGTTGAGAAAACTATGGACACTCCTGTCGTATATATTTTTTTGTTACAATATTCTAATGTTAATATTTTATATTGTTTATTTCAATTTAATTTATTTATAAAGTAAGTTGTAAATATTGTAAATATTGTGTATTGTAAAATTGTTGTAAATATAGTTCATGACTTTGAAAAATTCATTCCAAATCGGATCAGTAACAGTGTTTTTTTTATAATATATTAATGCAGTTAGTTTCCCAATGTTTAATTATTAACACAGTTTCAGTTGCTGATTGAAGGAACAGGGATAATTGTATGAAAATACAAGCCAGTATATTAAGTACTTGCCCACCTCTATATTGTGGATATGGTTATATTAAAAATCTTTAACATAATTTTAATATGTATATAGGTACTTCTTATTCTAGCATAATAAGTTTGTAATAATCGTAAAATTTTATCGTGTATTTAACTACATTAACGATTTATTATTATTTCTTATTTTCCGAATTTGCCATGTAAATGACATGTAATTATACGGCGGACGAGGTTATTTCTGGTTGATGTACTCTCAGTCGAAATGGCATTTCCATATTATGATTATGGAACAAAAAGTAGAAAAGTTGAAGAGAGTTGCAGGAGCAACTTCAAGAACAGGTATTTACACTGTTTGAATATGTAGGTTGTGCAGGTAGTTTGAGATTTTTTTACTGTAAACATTGTCTATTCGAAAATATATTAATTAATTCATAAAAACATATAATTTATTTATGTTCTTCAAACAAAAATAGAAAATAATAGAGTAATAATCACGGTTACGATATGCCATAATTTTATACTTTCATATTATATCGGTCATAGTTATCACCAGTAAAAAATCGCATGAATCATTGAGACGACGGTATACCTTATCATTCAAATTGTCTTTATATTAGTCATTCTAACGTTGATAACAACTACAGCGATAGTACCTCTGATTATAACCCATAAGATTTACTTTTGAACTAAAGTCCTTCCCGGGGTAGATAATTAGAGCTTAGGCTTTTTTGCATATACCAAACTCTTGCTTTCTTTACTTTAATATTACGTCTTATACATAGTTTTATGTGTATACGATGTAATATTAAAAGTCATATCCTATTTCAACTTATATGCTTATACCTACAGTCTTGTTATAAACCGTACATGTATGTTTCTATATATACATTATTACTATACATGATGTAACTGAACTACGCAACGTGGAAGTTATTTATTCGTAAAGAGATTTCGATTAATTAGAATTTTAATACTCAACCCCCTTAAAACTAATATAAGGCCGGTCTGATGCAAAACGGTAACTGTATCACAATGTATGCAATACCATACTTTTTTTAATGTTGTTATTTTATAGAAGCCTTAATTTATTGGAAGGATATCTTGTTTCATTTAATGTATTAGCGCTTTTTTAAATAATTGTTTGTTTTGGTATCTTTATATGTAATAAAATCTCGGTTATATTAATACTAAGTGCCAAAAGTCTGAATAATTAAAAAAATAAATAATCTTGTGAATTGTGCTTAGCAACGACATCTGTGGAATAGTTTTTGTATCATCAAGAGCTCACAGCGAGTTGGTAGAGTACTACGATATCTCGCATGTGTTTGTTAGTTCTATAGTCTGATACCGTGGCGCTTTTTATACATTTTTGTTTTTTTAAGATTAACGGTGTAATATTAGATGTTACTAATCATATTGAATTGTCCTATGCCAATTAATAATCTTCGCCATTAGAATTACTAGATTAAATTTGTCTCATTATCTAATTATATCAAATGAAAGTAATTATGTTACTGTGTTATATGATAGTTATACTCATAAGTAAAGATGTACCTATTTCCAGAATATACAGATAAAGTACGGCTATGCACCATTAAAGAATTGTTTACATACTCATTACTTGTATACTTGTGTATTAAAAATATATGTTTATTTATCCAATACTAAGGTTTGCATTTGCGTTGCACAACTAATTCGGAAGTAACTCAGTTTCATAATATTTTAAAGTTTTTATCCAATCTGTTATTACATTCTTACACTCACGATGACCTTAGGGACATATACTATAGCTATATTTTTATTTAATTTATAATAGTGCAGTTTGTGTCTGACATTGTATACTCGCAAATTTGTATTTTGTTATTGCCACAGATACAACTTTATGTTTTCTTCTTATATTTTCTACAGCTGGATCATATGATGTTTATGTTTTTTAAAAGAGTGTTTAATATGTACAGTTCCTCAATCTTACTGATAATAACAGATGCGTGATCCAGAATAAGTCATCACTACGAAATCGTCGGTTTTTTAAGTAGTTTTTTGAGCAGAATTCTTTCTATTACTAGAAAATATGACTTGATTACATCTCCCTCTTACAGTAATACCGTATATGATTATAGAATGTACTTAAGCGATATATTTTCATTTAGAAGGTTTTTGAGCGAGCTATGTGGCGATGTCTCTTGATTAGGTTCTTATATGTCTCAATATTATGTACATCCAAATAAATTTTCTAATTTTTGTAAGACAGACGCTGGTCAACTCCGGTAGTTGACCAGTTAGTAGTTACTTTTATCGATATAAAAGTAAATACTAAATGGAACCGAAAAAAATGGACCGATGTTTAAACTGAGCATTTCGGTGATCGGTGAAGGGATTATTGAATTTTAATTTACTTTTATTTCAAAATTATTTTATGTAAGTAAAGAAAATCCGTCACAGCTCGTTTTTCAAATTCAAATTCAAAATATCTATATCTATATATCGTTTGTCGTAAGATTGCTTATGAGATATACTGGATGAAGATATGTAGGTTACATTGTGGAGTTACAAGGTTTGTAACCTTGTGGTTGTATTTGAGTATTTCCCTCAATTACTGTGGGATTCCATTATTCGATCCTGACTTGGTGAGTATGGGACCTTGGGAGTATTCAAATATGTATATTCTCTTCCAAAGAAGAAGTTTGAAAATCGGTCCGCAATGAACGAAGTTATCGTTGAACATAACATATATATTCATTTGAAATGAATTTGTAATGGTTTATGCATAGGTTTTAATGTACTGTTTTGATTGATCTATGTGATTTTAAATATTATTAATAACTTAAGCCCTTGTTCCACGAAAAGCCTTAACATGATATCATCATTCCGGGAGCCTTTTCTTTATGAATAGAATAGAAAATCATTTATTCAAATAAACTATGAACTATAACATTGAAGCACTTTTGAATAGTCATATTTTTTATTTTTTTAATCTACCGCTCATTCGGAATGCTGTCTCATCACAAGAAGAACAAGCAAGAAACTTGTGTGTTGCTCTTTTAAATAATTTATTCTTACTTACAATTTAAGTTTAAGTGTGTGAATACAAACCACCGATTAGCACTAATTCAATGAAATAATAAAATAGAAAAAAAAGAAGAAAAAAAAATTTAATGCAACTTTATTTTTTTCATAATTAATGATCCTATTGCGCATTAGTGCAAAATAGGGAAGGAATTTCACGTTTCATTCATAAATGAAATAACTTTTCAGATTCGTTTGAAATATTTTATTTAGAAATCATTTTCACAGACAGCTAGACTCGGTAAAGTATATTTAAACAAATAAAATTAGGTTGGTTCCTATTAAAACTGTATTTTTTTTAAATAGCAGAATGTTTACTACCATCACTTAATTTTATTACTATTGCTACAACTTTAAATAAATTAAATGAAATAATAACTATAACCAGTGTGCACAGACGAAGATTGGTACGAATTAATGCTACCGTTTTGATTTACGTTCCTTGTCCATATTAATAAACGATTGCAAAAGTCTATAATGCGGCTTTCGTACCTATCTCACTCTGCTTTTTGACAATTACATCTACTAGCACTTTAATATAAAAAATTACAAAAGACTTTACGATATATTTAGTATCGCTTCTTTCCCATTACAAAAGGTTTTTACAAAACATTGAAAACGTTGACCACTGTCACCGAAATACCTAAGTGCTAGCAAAAATTGAATGTTCTCGAATTAGGGAAAACAAGATAAAATAATCGTTTTCCGTAAGACGTGAATATAGGAAAAGTGTTGGCCAAGGCGGAATCTACTCGCTATGCGTCGGCCGACACTTTTCTCGTATTGCAATTTACTTCTAAATTATAATAGTCACTGGTCTCAAAACATGGCTTAAGTACTATACACCTAAAATATATAAATTATTACAAATTAAGTAAGGCATTTACAACATCAGGAATTCTTATGATACTTCATATTTACACGATACTAGATCGCTTACTGTAACATCGTGTAAAAACAAAGAAATTGACTAAAATTATTATCGGTAAAACAAGTTTACTTGTAAAATGGTCAAGATTTCGGCAATCTATTGACCAACGAAGCTTGAAGTATAAGAATAAGAAAATTCTTTACTTATATACCTGGGATAGTTCTTAGCTTCGCTTCGCTTTGGTCATTACGAAATGTTTTATGAAACATATAACAATCCATCGAATGCCTAAAGTAATACAGGCGTAGTCGTTTACAACTTAGCACTATCGTTTGGCACTGACTTGTTAGAAACATAAATAGTAATAAATTAGTCTTAATTAAAGACTTGAAGAAATATTTTTTGTAATAAAATCAGATTCTGAAAATTATTATTATAATTTAACAGTTCGATCACAGTCATTATTTTTTTGTTTATTATTGAGTTGTGCCACGACACTTTTTAAAGTAACATAATATCAATTATTATATATGACACGAAACCTTAAACTATTCCATCGGGATTTGAGCATTATTATTGTGCATTGAAGAGTAGATGGAATTTTTATCACATAGATACTTTAACCTTGTGATGACATATTCGTGAAATCTGACGACTAATCGAAGGTATTTCACCTTCTTCTCTTAGCGGACACAGCTGCTGCAATCATTTGCCTCAGCATTGGCTCTGGCGTACACGCCTTGGGGTCGCATTTCATTTGGCCGTCACCTCCACATCTGTAATTATATCATCAAATTATATGATTAATCTTTACATTCGATTGGGCAATAAGAAAATAACGTGTATCCTACACGTTAAGTTAGGAACTCGATACTTGTTACAATTACTCGAATTTAAACATCTATAAAGATATATACTCATATTTATATAATTGAAATACGTTAGTCTTATTCGATATAGTTGTGTAATGTTATATGTAGAGATTGTAAAATATTGTAAAGTACTCACGTGCAATGTAAACATGGTCCTGATGACGCGCGCACCACCTCTCCTACTTTGTATGTGTGTCCTTTTATTTGACAACCTCTTTTATATGCTGCACCTTTGTAAGCATGGGGCAAGAAATGTGGCGGCAGTGTTGTCGTAGTCGTTGTTGTTGTTGTTGTAACATTAAGAGCGGTGGCCATAGATACCGGACATTCATATCTTGGACAACAGAAACCTTGTATCGGTTCTTCGTGGCAGCCGTGTATAGGAGGCGGACAACTTTGTTGTAAGCATATAATATCACTTCTGAAACAGAAGCAGAAATCACATGGATCATCCCTGGGTATTTGTTGAGCAGATACATAAACTTTTCCTCCGTAACGACAAGTGCCTGGTCCGAACGGTTGATCGTCATCAGCATAGTCAGAACCATAACCTCCACTGGCACTAGGTCCTTCGTGATCTTCATGATCTTCTGGTTCAACAACTTCATCAGTGATTGGGATTTCATTAATTCCGGGTTTTGGAATTTCTGGTGCCGCTGTTGATGGCACATCACTAAGTTTGTCTTCAATTTTAGTAGTTTTGTCGAGCAATGTAGCTTGTGTTGTTGGTTCTTCTTCTTCTGTCTTACGAGTTGTTGTTTTGGGTGATGCAGGTAAGAATTCCCCGTCCGCTTCAGTTGTTTCATGTGAATGATCAAATTCAACTGGTTTTCCTGTTCCCAAATTTATATCAACTTCAGGTTCTACAGTAGATACTTTATCAGAAATAATTGGAGTAACTTGTTCTTCTTTCGTTGTAAATGTAGGAGAAAGTGTAGTTAATTTATCTTCATCCTCCTCTTTTTTAATATCTTCTTGAATTACCGGGATATCAGATACTGAAGATGATGTACTTTCTTCAACAACGGTAGAAGGTAAAGTTGTAATCTGTTTATCGATAATAGTAGTACTTGGACTTGATGATTCACTAATAGTTGTAAATGTTTCATTTTCTGTTGGTTTCGCGTCATGAGTGGAATGGTCGCGTTCTGGAAGTATAGTCGGTGATACTCCTGTTAATTCTTTGTCGTGTTCAGTTTCCAGTATACCTGAACTGGCAGTAGTAGATATTTTATGAGATGTATCCTCGTATTCTGGTTGTTTTGTTATGTATAATTCATCTGATGATATATCAGTAGATACTTTATCGCGATCAGTTTCTTTGATTTCAAGAGCAGGACTTGTTGATGCTTCCGTGGGCTTCAAATCAAATTCTGTTTGTTGTGTTAATAGATTTGTAGTTGAAATTTCATGAGGTAATTCATCGGGTAGTAAGATCGTGGTAGAAGTTTCTTCTGGTATTTGTTCAGATGGCTGTATTGTAGAACTTTCATTGGCTAAAAGTTCGAGCAATACAGTAGTAGAAGTAGCATCTTCATGAGGGGGTAGTCGTTCAATGGGTAGAGTTGTTGTTGTTTCATCTGGTAATTGAGCAATGGATGGCTGCACTGTTGTTATTTCAGTAGGTAATTTCTCGATTTCAGACGTTGTAGTAGATGTTAGCAAATGTTCTAGTTCTGGCTGTATCGTAGTTATTATATCTGCTTCAGTAGTGACAGCTATTTTGTCGGGGGCCTGTTCCACGGGTTTTTCGAAGTCATCTAATGATTGTTCAATAGACGTAATTAAAGTTGGGACTTCTGTTGAATCAGGAGCCGAAATTGTAGTGTAAATTTCATGTTGTGGTTTTTCAGTTGACGCAACTGTAGTTGGAATTTCGTTTGTGAACTGTACGGGCAATAGAGTAGTAGCTGGATGTTTTTCAGGTAATTCCTCCGTTGATGGATGGACTTCTGAAATCATATCTGGTAATTGTTCTTCTGTAGTACTGACAACGTGATCAGGTTGAGTTGTTTTATCCTCATATATTTTTGATGTGTCAGTAGTAACTTTTTCACTGAATGCTTCTTCTGATTCTGATATGGAAATTGGAGTTGAGGTTTCAGCTCCTTGCTTTTGATCATGTTCTGTTTGTTGAAGTGGAGGTGCACTCGTTGACGATTCTTGTAATAATTCCCCAGTACTAGTGGTACGATCGATTTCAATGTCAAGTTTTTGACTGCTCTCGGTTTCGAGTGATATTGATGTTTGGGTAGTTAGGTCCTTTTCTGACGAAGATTCAGGATCGTAATCATGCTCCTGTGGTTTTTCTGATGGAAGTTCATCTTTTTCCGTATATTTATGATCGATTAACTGGTCACCCGGAGTCACCGTTGTCCATTTTTCTACGGGCAATACTGTCACTTCTTCTTCTAGCGAAGTTTTAGTGGATACATCTTGTAATGTAGTTTCTGTATGTTCTACTAATTCTACTATATCTGCAGTAGTATCAGTTTCTAATATTGGATTTGGTGTCTCAAAGGTATCATCTTCGAATTTAGGTTTCTCGGTCGACATTCGTTCTGTGCTAAGAATCTCTGGTTCAAATTCAGATATTTCTAATTTTTCTGTAGTTGCCGTTGGTTTTAAAGGCTGAATAGGTTCTCTTTCAGTACTTTGCCCAATTTCAGGTTGATTATTCAGATCCAATTGTGTTGTATGTTCTTCTGTTTCTTTTATATGAGATTGTGGTGATTCTGTTTCTTTACTGATTACAGGTTTTGAAACATCTATTGTATCATCTTCTTCTATGTAACTTGGTTCTAATGTTGTACTTGGTTCTATTGATTTGATTGGAAGCGAAGTGGTTAATTCTTGTGGTAAATGTGTCACTATTTTTTGTTCTTCAGGCGTTGTTAGATTCTCTGGCAATTCGCTTAGGTCATCTGATACAGCAGATTCTGGGTGTTCTGTACTATCTTTTTCAGATTCTGATATTGATGTTACAGGTTTAGGTAGTTCTTCAGCTGCAGTTACAATGTGTTCATCTTTGGGAGTTGTTCTGTCTTGTTCAAGTGATGATAGTGTTTCTGGTAATTTTGTAACTTTTTCCTTTTGCTCATATAAAATGTCTCCTCCTTCAGTAGTGGAATATATTCCACTTTCCGTACTTTCATCTTTAGTAAAACTAACATCAGATTCAGCAATTTCATCAGATCGAGTAATGTCAAGTACCGGTAATTTTGTAGCAAATTCTTGATTGACATTAATCTGTGGAGATTTTGTATAACTATCTTCTTGTTCTGTTACCACTATGTCAGGTCTTGCGGTGCTTCCTTCTAAATCAGAAGATACAGTTTCATATTCTAAGTTTGCTTGTGTCGTTGTGATTTCTGATGTTTTATAATCAGTATCATCTGAAGGACGAGAAACAATATCAGGATTTTCTTCAGAAATAACATCTGGCTGTTTAGGTTCTTCTGTTATATAAGCGACTTCAGTTACTGGCTCATTTTCTGGAATTTTCTCTGATCGTTCAGTTACAATAGATGGATGAACAGGAATATATTCAGTAGAGTCTAATTCTAATGTACCTGTAGTAGATCCTAGTAAATCATCTGTTTTAATATCAGTTGGTTCTTCAGTGTAAATTTCTGGAGTTTCAGTAATTATATCTTCTGGTGGCTGTATCTTAGATTTATCTTCGGTTATTGTTACGCTTGTTGATTTGTCAGTACTAATTTCGGTTGCTATTGAAGATGCAGGTTCTTCTTGAGCAGGTTCCCGTGTGGTATATGCTGAAATTTCATTACTTGTAGTGTATTTATCCTTATCTACCTTTTCATTATCTGGCACTTCTGTGACATGACTATAAATATCAGGTGAATATGTTGATTTTGTGTCTGCTGAATGTGGAGTAGTTACTTCAGTTTCAGGTATTTCACTAGCTTCCGGCTTTGTCGTAATTACACCTATTGTAACATATTCATCTACCTTCGTGTACTCCGAAGTAACAGACATTATGTCTTCAGTTGTAACTTCAATTTCTTGTTTAGTTATATCTGTATCAGCACTAGTTGCTTCCTTTTCTATATTAGTTTCTTCTGGTTTTAAAGAAGATTCACTGGATAGTTCTGTTTCTTCAGTATAATGTGGTTTATCATCAATTTTTTTATCAGGAGGGGTCATTTCTGTCGGTGTTTGTTCAATATGTTCTGTTGATGTACCAGGGATTAATTCATTTGTTTCTGATACAGGAGTACTAGATGTTTCTGTTACGTCACCTACTGAAGATACGGTAGTTTCAATTGCAGGCTTTTCGGTATTTAATTGATGTAATGTTTCTGTAACAAGATCTTTTTCTGTTATATTATCGATATTTTCTGGTTTGGTATGTGATTCATACCCTGTATCTTCTTCAGTGTATAATTGAGGATATTTCGTCACTGCCTCTTCAATTGTAGATGTGTGTGGTATTTCTGTTTCTTTTTCTTCAATATATGACGGCTCAGTCGAGTCTTGAGATTTCGTTATCGATTCTATCGGTTCCACGGTAATTAGTTTATCGCCCTCAGGTATTTTTGTTACTGAATCTATATCTGATGTTTCAGATACACTAGGTAGAGTTGTATATTTGGACACCTCCGTATTATCTGTTTGCTCATTTTGTAATTTAGTGACTTTATATGATTCGGTAATTTGTTCTGTTACTACTGCTTCTGCTGTAGTTACAGATATATCCTTATCAATTGTTATATCTGGTTTAACCGTCAACATAGTCTGATCTTGTTCCGTTACTCTCTCATGTGGTTCGGATAGTTCTGATTCTGTCGTCGACGGAATATCAGATTTTTCCGTTTTACTAACTTCAGGAGATTCAGATCTATCCTTATCGGAAATTTCCTCGGGTAATACAGTTGTCAATTCAGAATCTTTTTCTGTGATTGTATCAATCAATGGTTTTTCAGTTTCAGCTTCTGAAGAACTGGGAGATATAGAGGAAGATTCAGTTTGTTCTAATTCTGTTGAATATGTTCCCGATATCGGTTCGGATGTGATTTCTAAACTAGATATTGTAGTAGGGACAGATTCACTTTCTGTTGGTTGTAGTGATAAAATTGGTTTTTGTTGATCACATTCAGAGTCAGTGCATTCAGAAGGCAATCTATTTTCAGTACTGGGTATGGTTTGTTTTCTACATGACTCTTCAGCACAGTCTTCAACGGATTCTTGTTTTTGGTCTTGGTCCACTGTAGGTACATTGCAATCACTATTATCACAATCAGATTCTGAAGAATATTCTTTACATTTTTCTCCATCGCCGCAAATTTGAGTTTGACTGTCTTTACAGTTTTCACCTTCACATGGTTTTGGAATATCTGAAATAGCATCATCACATTTATCTCTGTCACTACAAAGTTGTGTTGGACTGACTTTACAGTTATCACCCTTACAAGTATTCTGGGTTTCAGGGGCGGTAACTTTACATTCATCTCCGTCACTACATGATTGAGATATATTAATCTTACAATCATCCCCTTCACATGGTCTTTGCATATCAGGAACACTTTCTTCGCATTTTTCTCCTTTACTACACAGTTCGGTTGGTCTAACTTTACAATTTTCACCTTCGCAGGGACTTTGTAGTTCAGGAGTAGTTTCGTCACAGCTGTTTCCATCACTACAAGGTGGTGTTGGCTTCGTTTGGCAGTTTTCTCCCTTACATGGTATTTGAACTTCTGTAGTAATTTCTTTACACTTTTCTCCATCGGCACAGGGTTGGCTAGAACTAATTTTGCAATTTTCACCGTCACATGGTTTCTGAATGTCAGGAATAGATTCTTCGCATTTTTCACCATTAGCACATAATTGGGTTGAACTTGTTTTGCAGTTTTCATCTTGACATAAAGAATCTGTTGCAGTTGGTAGTATTTTACAATCACCGTCTATACAACTTCCGGTTGAAATAGGTGTAACATTTTGATTAATGTTATCACAATCTTTACCTCCGCAATCTGGTATTGAAACATGCTGATCTATACCAGTTGGCACCTCGTCAGATTTCTCTCCTACTTCGCCTGCATTTGAACAGCCGTCGTCAGATGAGCAAATAGGTTCATGGGGTTTTTGCTCTTTTTGTAAGTCACACTGATCACCATGACATTCTGTTGTAGGTATAGTAACTGGACTTTCTGTTCCTGACATCTGACTATGCGCTTGAGGGGGAATCGTTTCATGAGATTCATCGCATATGTATGTTGGACAACAAGCATCTGGAGAATCGTAGGTAGGAACACAACTGTTCATATATTCCGGTGGATAACTACAAATTATAGGATCGCATTTAATAATACTACTAACACATTTACATTCTATTTGACATTTATTACTGTTAGGTACTATACTCTCGTTTTTGTATGTAATACCATCCAACAAACAGTCTCCTTCTCCTGGTATTCTTCCAGGGCCTTGAGTAGTAAAGTCACCAATTTCATTTTCATTTGTGTCTACTGTAGCAAATTCGTTTTTATTTGGAATAACTGTTGTAGGTTCCTCGCTTGATATATGAGTGGTAGTATACGATTCCTTCTCCAACTCAGTGATAATTGATGGTGTTACTATGTCTTGGACTATATCTGTTGCTGCAGTTTCTTTAGAAAACTCACTTATTGGGCCTACAGTATTTTCAGAACTAGATACAGTTGTTACTTCTTGTTCCAATGTAACTCCAGCACTACTTTCTGTAGGTTCTCCACTGTATAACGGAGTAGTTTGTACTGCTAATCCAACTGTTGTCTCTTTACGATCACTTGCTAAATCAGTTACAGGAGACTCATTACTTTCATCGACATCAGTAAGTATAGGTATTGAAGTTGTCAACTCTTTATATTCATTGGTTACAACAGTATCTTTATGAGGTTTAGTAACGTTTAACACAGAAATTTCTGGTAATGTTTCTGACGTAGCAAAATCTTCTTTGGTAGTCTCAATTATTGATGTAGACATTTCTATAGGTGATTCAGTTGTGGGTTTTTGAGATTGTGGTGTCTTAGTAATATCTTTATCCGCTTTATAAACGTCATCTGTAGTCGTTCTTGTAGTTGTTTCAGATAATGTTATATCTTCGGGTTCAGTGGTTCTAAAAATATCTTCTGTAGAATCCACAATGTTAGTTGGTTTTGTTTCTGAAGTCGATACAATGTTTGCTTCTTCGCTTTTAGTTGTTTCAATATTTATTAGAGGAGATTCTGTAATTTCTTTTTCAGATAATACGTCATAGGCGGTTGTCTTTGCAGTGGTTTCTAAATCGTCTGTGTCTTTGTCTTTATTTTGTAAGAAAGCTTCAGAAGAGTCTTCATCTTCTTTTCTATAAGCAGGTTCTGTTGTATGTGTAGGAATTTCATGATCCTTATCTAATATAGATGTAAACTGATCATCTGGTTTTGATGTTTCTATATCATTAGGAACAGTATTTAATTCTTTGTTTGGTTCAGTAGTCACTTTTCCAACTTCCACAAAGGCTGCAGTTGTAGAAGCATGTTCTATAACAGATACATTATCTGTAATCGTAGATGGCAAAGCAGTTTGTCTTTCATCCTCATCTGGTTTGAATGTTGCTTGTTCACTATCTCCGCTTCCAATTTCAGCTTCCTCTTCTGGTTTCTCAGTATTCGTAGCTTCGTCTGGTTCATTTCTATAACCGTTGTCTTCATCACTAACTCTTCTAGGTGGCGATAAAGTAGTTAACTCTTCTAATAATATTTCAGTTGTTAAATCAGCAGAAACATCGGTAATTGGTTCATCACCTTCACAGATATATGTGTCTGGACAACATTGACCTTCACGAGGAGGCTGAGAAGTGCAATTTTTACCTTCATTTTCCATTGGTGTTCCACACTCCTGTACAACGCATACAATATCACCTTTCATACAGTAACAATGTTCACAAGCTTTTTCTGTTTTTATTGATGTCCCATCAGAGAAAATTTGATCACCATGAATACAGTCCTGGGTCATCTGTGTTACAGGTGCAACGGTTGTAGTAGTTAACAAGAATCCTGGTGTTGGTCGTACTGTAGTACTCATGTCATCCAAAAGAGGCACTTCATCTTCTGGGTGATCTGAAATTTATTAACAGTAAATTTTTATATGGAATATCACACAACATTAAAAAAAAAATACCCGGGACACCGCTCTGTAAATGAACGTTGGTATATGTATTATTAATGTCATTTGATTATCTTTGTATAAGTAAATTTGAAAGCTTTTGTATGAATTGTATTTAAATTGTTTATATGTGCAATTATAATTTGGTTAAAAAATACTCTGGTATTATGGTATCTAGTGAAGTGAGTATTGAAATAATGGGACAAATATATGGTATATATAAATATAATATTTACCACAAGAGTATCGGACGGGGCAGCAGACATCTTTATGGTAAATAGGAGTACATCCATCTACATGGAGTGTACACTCTTGCATAACGCAAGTCGTCATATTTCGAATACAGTAGCAATGCTCGCAAGGCTTGTTCGGTGTTGGAGGCACTTTGGATCCCTCTGGGAAGTATCTACCATTAATGCTGCAACCATATTTATCTAATCTACCAAGTCCAGTTGCTCCATATTCCGCTGGAGAGGTGGTAGAAGTCGATGTGAGCAGGTCAACTGGAACTGAGAAAATACTGTGTTATTGCTAATATAAAAATAGCATAATTGCTACCATAATTTTAATTTTTCTCAGACATACAAGACAATATAGAACAATACGAAGAAGAGTAGCCAAAACTAAGTGGATGTTATTGAACTTTTCTGAAAAATCAACAGCTTAAGTTTAGGAAAGAGTCTAGGTATAGACTTAACATAAAAAGAATATTTTAATTAACAATCAAAGGGAAAATTTCATGCTCCATAACATTTGATGAGTTTCTGAGACTTCATAATAAGCATAAAAGTGATGGATACTGTTATATATAACTAATAATAATTACATTTAGTTGTATAAGGGAAAGCTTACCGTCAGGGCAAGTGACAATGGGACAACATTGGTCAGCCCGTTTCTCGACCGTGCAGTCCTGACCTATAGGCTTAGTGAAGGGGCACACTCTCAGGTAACACATAAGCATTCGATTATGGCAGGTGCAGTTGAGGCATGGCTCATTGGTCATAATCCTGTCGCCTTCACCGTAGTGTTGGAAGTTGTAGTAACAACCCTCTGTTGCAGCTAAAAGTAACAATGATATAGGTAAATTATTATTTAATTTAGCCATTATTGAATCAAGAACTTTGTGTGTCAATTTGTATTTTTGACTGACTCTCTGGTGATAGAAATACCAATATCCAATATAATTAACCCGAGATACAATTCGGCGAGTTTGCTCCCTGCCACGCTGGATTCAAATACATATCTGTATTTGGATCATTATGTGTTGCGTTCACCACGCCGTTGTCAGTTGACAACCCCTCACCCGTATAACAGTTGTAACCGTATGTTTCATTATATTTTTTTAAGATGTTAAAAACTTATAACTATAATTATTTTTTCCCGATACTCACCATCATATAAATCTAACGCCGTCTGATTATTGGCCGTAGGGGCTGAAAGCGAAAAGAAAAAGAATTTAATTAAAAACAATAAAATTATTGACTGAGTATTCGGAGTACACAATTTCACTTTAAAACTAGTTTGTGTACTTCTGTTACTGTAGTAATTTGTAATTTTCTTATCAACGCATGCGCTAAGTTGACGTGTGTAGAATAAGTTCCGCTTACGTCTTAGTTACGTTCCATACGTATGCTAAATTGTACTAGTAATATCGCCCCTTGAAGTTCATTTACAACACAATAACACAATTTTATTATTTAGTATATAACCTCCGTGTAATTACGAAGTAAGAATAGATAATTTATCAGTGCTTTCGTCTTCGTTAATAGTATTGTACTAGAGGAGTAGAGTAGATAAAATGACAACACATGCAAAAAAAGATTATTAATAATAATATCAAACACATTTCAGACCATCAATAAAAATTTAGAACCTCGTTTTTACTTAATTGTTGATGAACAATTACATCCGGATAGCTACAAAAAAAAAGAAGTATGTATGTAAGTCTAAGTATTGAAATTTTATATGTACCTATTGAAAATAATGTATGCAGTTAATCTACACAACAACACCTTAATATAGAGCGCAGCGCAGATATACGCTTGGGACGTCTCTAGCAAAACTGCTTCAAAGTATTTTTATACATTTTTGTACAACTATCAATATAAACATTAAAAGTTATTTCGAGAATGGTATATTGCTGTTTTTATGGGTTGACTTATTAAGCACGTCACAGCTGGACAGGATATTAGCTGCAAATCGTTCAACGCTAGCGATCGGTCATCGTCTTAAAGTCATTTTACATATCCGTTTTACTGCGTATAATTACTGAAGCCGAGCGGCGAGGCGACAAAGCTGTAATTAAAGTAACGGAGAGCATCGTTAACATCGAAACCACGGGTTTACTGTCGATTCGATACTTAGGGCAAAAGTCATAACGCCTGGGGAAATGTCTAGTATATAATTGAGTGACGAATATAAAGCCACTAAGTGCATAAAGGTACCGTTTGCTCTGTGGTTTGCTTTCTAATTGCGTACATAATTTTGAGCAATGTAGATTGATGTATGATAGACGTTTGCATGTAAATAACAATATTGTCGTACAACCAATGATTGTTGTATGTTTAATATTTGAATTGATTAAAAGAGCATGTTATGTACTAAATGTAAAGTAATTTTTTTTTCTCATAGCGGTTCAACGTTTCTAGGTCAGAGTAATCCAATATGTATATAATTACTTACTTAATGTATTTATTATTCAATAAATAATATGGAAGATACTTAGTATTTTTTTTTTTGTATTTTCTTGTGAGTACCGCATGATGTAACGAATAGCAAATTATTGAAAAATAAAAATAGGACATGCAAAAATAAAACTATTATAAGATATATGAGATTTATGATATCCAATGTTTATTTTGATCTATACTATAACACTATTATGAATAACAATACAAGCATTTAAAAAGAAACTGTTATAGGTCCAAATATTTCGTTTAATAAACTAAATGTTTGTGTGTCAACAACGAAAACATAGATACACATTTATCGGCATGATAAAAAATATTCCAGCGTGTTCCTAGTCTAGGGATTGTGTATGTTGTTCTTATATGGCGAGTTCACTGTGACGGGTGGCCTGGCTGCCGTTTGACCGAATCGCGCCCGCGTCCATGCACTGTGTCCTCACTTCGCGAGTTCGTTCATCTAACGGTCACCAGGAATGTCGTTAGTATCCAGTTTTTGCTAGTCGTATATTCAATTATAATGTGTTTCCACTCTCACGATTGACGCCTGATCGTAAAATTAAAATTATAGCCATAACGGGAAGCGATCATTTACAAATACATAATAAGCACAAAATTTGTAATTTACATAAGAATACAATTTTAATCAGTTTTCATTGTTGACCAAGTTAGATCGTATTTTGGAGATATTTTAAATTTCGAAACACCAATAAAGGTATTATTGTGACGTAGTAGTCGTTATAATTTCCATGAAATCTATCTATTGAATTTACGTATAACAGTGACGTTATAAATGGCTTTGCACGAACAAAAAATCACTTAATTCAAAATCGTGCGCTTAGGAATACGGCTCGAAGCAATCGAAATGAGGAGACGGCTTGAATTTAAAATTTGCACTACATTAATATGGATTGTCGTTTCAATGAATGAATGTCGCCGTGGTCGCCATGCGTGATGAAGTTCACACGGGTAGACCTAAACATTGTAGGCCACATTTAAATATACTTCCTATGTATAACATAAATAGGTACAACAATTTCTTTGAACTAACCGTGCAGCGGATACTAAATCTGAGTGCACACGAAAATAGCATTACCTAACATGCAGCATGGACCAATGACCACAGACCTTTACAGTTATTCTGTAGGCACTGCGATACCCAGCAGATTTGCCCTTGTACAAATTGACTATATTCATACTTTTAGACCAAATATTACATTGTTCTAGATTTCTCTAACATATTAGAAAATTAGTTTTATTTAGATTCCCGATTTCGCCCAATGGTTAATAGATACTCGTATGCTGACTGGAATAAAATATAGTCCATTCCTATTACTTTTATAGTTAGGTTTCTATATTTATGGGCAAATTAGATTAATTAATTTAAAAAAAATGTATTAGTGTAATAACCTAGATTCCAATCACTTGTATTTTTTTATTTTAGTTGATTTGCTATATATAGTGTAGGGATAGAAAAATATATATAATAAAAATTGTATGTGAGTGATGGGTGCACAGATTAACAGATTGAGCGAGACTAGATAGTGGGCGCCAAGTAGGTATCGTGCTCGGTCATTTGATGAACATAGCAATGTATTCCGGGTCACGGTGACGAGACAAAGCAACGGTAGAGACCAGTTTCTAGGCAACATTCAAATTTATAATTTTGTTAACACACCTAAAAATGGCTATCACATAAATAAAACGTAATATTGTATAATATTACCGAATTCCCATAAGAAATGCAAATCGTAAAATGATATTGTAGTTTCTAAATTAATAAAACGTAAAAATGAATACAAGATTTCTTTTGCTTGTGATTACACTGTATAGAGTTAAAAAAAATTGTGTGTTTGATAATTTCGATTAAAATTAATATACGTTTCATAAAATGCGTACTGCATAAAATAAATTATATAATATTAGTGTCTGTAAATTAATGTGTAATAATTAATTTATATATTAGGATATTAATTGATTAAATCTTTTAATAAAAACTAATGGTGAATAACTGTACACCAAGTAATAAATTCGGTAGCAGAGATTAGCAGATAACATCGCTTCATTTAATAGCATTACTTAACGTTGCCTACTGATGTTTATAACTATATATACGTTGAAAGATTAATTACTTTTACGATTTTAACCTGTTAAGAAAAGGAGGTTCAACCAATTTCATCCGATGTTTTAGTTATGTTAAGAAATATCCTTATCAAAAGTAAAATATCTTCATTTTGTCTTTTAAAACAGATAGCAGTTACGACTGGCTTATTTTCGTTTTTTACTTTTGTGGAACAGAGTGAACTTTATAATAATAATAATAGATCAATTTTCTCATTTCGCACGTATTTGAAAAGAACTGGTCTAGGTCAGTTTTAATAACAATATAACTTTTTATATGTCTTTATGAATTATTTGTCTATATCAGTTATTATTATATATTTTGCCTATTATCTAAGTTTATATTAAAATAATATTACTAGCGCAATATATTTTATCCAGCAAAGTTCTGTTTCTAGACATAACTCAGACTTAAAATCATTTGAATTAATAATTTATTTTGAGCAGAATATTTCAACCATTTAATTAGGCCATTTTATTTTATTCAGCAGGTATTCTATGTAATCTAATATAGATTTAGAAATATTATTTTGAAATATAGTTAAGACTGAATAAAAATTAAATAGATAGCAATGTGAGTTAGCACTTTCATTATCTACATTACATAAATTTCTAATGTATAATTGAAGGATACAAAATGGTGCGAAACGGGTCAATTAAATGTGACTTGATAAGAATTAGATTTTAGAATAAGCCGGAAAATAGAGTAAGTAAACTACTATACTCTAATTTTCCAGCTTACTGTTGCTAATACTTCTAATTTTCCATGTAGTTCTAAATAACTGACAATTGCTATCAATATTAGTATTATGTAAGTAAGATGTTACCCGCAGTCGTGCATGCGATGCACGCGGTGAGCGCTAGCAGCGCCCCCGCCGCTCGCCGCTGATCCATCTGCCGCCTGCCGTCTGTAACAATCACACGACACAATCAATTACTATACAAATACCTCTTTACAGATACACTCCAATATAATACTGAGTCATCACTTGGTTGTACAATAACAATGTTTTACTTCCACTGTCTGGGTGGATAAATCATTTAATCAAAGCCAATTTTTACACTGTTTTAATGCTTACAATATGCTAGTATTGTTTAAGAGAAGGTATAATTTTTAATAATTTAGTTTTCTAAAACTGTTCATTTTACGAGTAGAATCAGAGTCAGTAAATTATAATACTATATATTATAATTTATTGACGGATTTATAAGTATAGGTACGTACTATGGCATATAATAACAAATACATATATGACAGTAATCTGATATCAATATTATATATAGACTTGTATGAACTTTGGCAAAATATTTAAAGAGAAAAAATTGTGCGCGTGCCTGAGTGGAAGTGCATACTTTCATCCAAGGACCAGAAGGGATCGCGCTAGTGTGCACCCTCTTCTTATTTATCCGACACTCACACAAAGCCGCCGTAATAAGCTGTTGAATACCGGAAATGCGAATAATTTATTTCATTCAATTTACTAACTTTCTCACAGATTGTCAAAATAAATAACAGTTGTGGATATACGAGTAAACAAAATATAACAGATATTCATAAGAAAAACAGCATGATGTTTTTTAGTTTTGGTATTGCAATGTATGTACTAAAATTTAGTTTCTTTTCTAATTTAGTATAAATTATAGATTTATTGAATTTATTTAATAATAGATTTTAGAATTTAGTATAAATATAGATTAGTATATATAATATATTAATGTTCTCTGTGGTGGAAACTAAAGGTTAAAATGTTAAGTTTCATTTATATATCTACTAAAAAAAAATTGATACATAGTGATGAGTTGTAGAAGCGTAGCAATCAGAATAGTGAAGCATAGAACGTTCAGTAATAGACAAATATCAACATAACTTGCTGTATTTGAATACATAATTTGCTTGAGTAATTAGGTATTGAAGAAGTTCGTAGATGGTATGCAATAAGATGGTTGCCAATGCTCGTATAATAAGTTACAGTAGGCTCCAATTCTACAGCTACAGTGTAGAGGAGAAGGAACGCGGAAACGTAAAAATGTGCCTATTTAGTTTTAAGTGAATAGGGAGTTTAACTGTCCATTCAGTGGCTGGCACGCGGCCGCCATTTAAAACAATGTTGGCTGTTTTATAGGAGTTTCAGTGTAACCCAAGTTTCTTGTTTCTAGAAACCGCTGCAAATTTATATTGACGATAAGAAAATTTTTGTGTTTACGATAAGAAATTTAACTAGAATGGTATCCTTAGATAAATATGTAGTAGGAAATTAATATTTTTTATAAAATATTAAAAAAAATTAGTTTGTCAAGAACGTAATTTCTTGACCACTGACTGTTTTATTTAAATAAAATACATAGATAGCTACAACAATTACTACACTAATTATATCTAGATATTTTTATTTAGTAAGTGGAAGAGATAACCTTTGGACTAATGTAATATAGTAACATATTTGGAGACCATACCATTTTCTATTATTTTATTACTCTACATATTCGTTTATTTTATTATTAATTCTTGTAATTGCAACGGTTATTTAAATTTTCAAACGATGACGCACTTATAATTTTTGTAGTTAGTAGGACTACGACTAATTCAATTAAAAGGTGATTACCGACAGCACTATAATTTAAAGCTTTAGCTGTAATTTGCTACTTAACTAGGACCATTACTTATGATAAATACATGTGCACAAATACATCCGGGTTCGTAGTAGTGCGTATTAGTGACTGGTAAACTTGTATTTATGACTAGCACTGAAAGAGTCAATGGCTGTGCCTCAAATGAATGTAACTCCAGGTACGAAGGCATTACCGGAGAGTTATCGTGGGAACGCACAAGTCCGCACCCGTTGCTTAGCGCACTCACATGCCTACCTAGTGCCTACTCGTGCATACCATAAATATCTATACCTAGTCTCTTACCTACTCATTATGTACCGCGTGCACCTTTCACAGACTTTTCAATGGCCTCCCTCGCTGACACGACACTACACAAGAGGGAAGTTTGTTTTTATCCCTCATTTTTATCACATATCTTAAATTTAATGGTTAGTACCATCCATTTATAAATGTTGGTTGTTCTAATATATAATTTATATTTCTCGATGACATTGACGTACCGGAAATCTAATTCTCAATATATAAAACGTACAAATAAGAATGTATAGCTAAATATACCTACATGTATCACCAAGGGTCCCTCCGTCTAGACACTCACTGCAAGTCACCTCCGTACTTCACAGGGAGGGTGAGGGTGCGGAGAAATTCGCTACTATCTATTTATTTACTCTACTAAAATACCACGTGTTACGGACGTTAAGGGTTATTCACATTCTCATTTTGATGGCATGGTTCGGATATATCCTATTTTATATGTTTCAGTTTGCATAGAAAAACTTTTTGTATGGTATAAATCATAACATTTAAATAGAAACATATCTTTTGATATCAACAGTAAATAAATGTATTTATTTTTTTATCACAAGAACAGTTCAATTAAGTCATATATAAATATAATTCTTGCCTTAATATCTAATCTGAAAATAATAAGTACTCTAGTTTGTTTTAAAACGTTATGATTACCCGACAAAGGGAACTATTATTTCCATGTACACAATGGGAACCCAATTCCCAAGCGCAAGTAATTTGGCTTACCGTTTGTTACAGCGGTATGGCGTCAAAAGTAACAGTTATTATGATTTAAATAAATAAAATTTGTACACATACTGATGGAAAGCCACAAAAGTGAGGTCACATTAATAATAGTAGTTTGAATTACTAACTATAACAGATAAAGTTGTAACCATAATATTTTCTTAAGTCGATTACGAATACGAGGAGCTACGATGTGCTACGCCACGAATGATTCTACAGATTTGTCATTGATTCTACGTTAAATTGAGCAAATTATTATCAAAATTATAATTAAGTAATATATATACATATATAATAAATTAATGGATATATTTATTTATACTTTACAATGAACTTGGTAAATATAATAAATACTAGGTTTCCCCACAGTCTCATCCGCATGAAGTTTACAGCCTATGTGTTCTCCTGATGTATATATAAGCTATATTACTTAAAAGTTTCATAAAAATCTGTTGAGTAGTATTTGCGTGACAGAGTAACAAACATTCAAACATCCCTATACCTATCCATTTTCGTAAACTTTCGCGTTTATAATATTAGTAAGATGTCTTACTATACTTCTTCATGAATATTGTTACTAAAGTATTGTATATTATTAGTGCCTAAACCAGGTAAGAGGTTATTTAATTAAATTAGAAGGGCATATCTGTGGAGTGTACGCCCAGTCGCCAGAGACAGCGTAGGGTCGCCTGGTCGCCGGTCGGTGGACTCAGGTCGCCCCCTAGCGGCATATCCGTGCCGTTGTTACTCAACACATAATTTCGGAACATTGCAACCGCAGCGAGCATTGACACCAATTTCTTGAACATTGGACTGTAGATCAGAGATATTATTAATAAATTCCCATTTCCTTACTCGTAGCATATGAAAGATATTCACAGTGAAGTTTATTAGGTATACACGTATAACATAATTTGCTAAAATAAATTCTTAACAACGTAATAAATGATCAAGTACAGGATTAAATAGCATAATTAAGTTTAAAAATAAATACTATTGTCTTAGTTTAAAACAGTATTTATTGTAACATTTTATAGCCCTTGTAGAAAAATGAAATACCTATTTACCAGAAGTATATAAAAGAACAATAACAATAAGTTTACATTAGATGTGACATTAGATGACCAGGTAGTGGCGTGAGAACTCGTGAGTTCGGCTTCTCACGAGTGCATTAATTTTGCATGGCTACAGTACTTTAATATCCTACTTGCAATGTTTATTATCCATAATAATTTGGGGCCTACATATTCATTCAGTCTATATATTAATTAATTTGATCCACACGTAATAATTTAAAAGCTCTGCGTGTTTTCGCTGGTACGTTCAGCTATCCAATGCGCGCGCGCCGTTCGCACAATGCGCTCACGTACGCGTGTCGCGATTATCGACGTCGTAAATTACAAGTGATTAGCATAGCAGTCGTGGACATGGCGACGGTGAGTCGTTATTAGATTCGGTTACAAGGCGACATTGCATCGTTATTAGGCGATAATTGTCACTGAAGTGTAGCGGTCGATTAACGGCAGACGCAGGTGACGTACACACATACATACTAAACAGTTCCAGGTTGCATGCCTACACCTTTAACTAATTCGAATCGATTCATATAAACACTATAATATTAATGTCTAGGTGTTTATCTAAATTACATGAAATTATTCATTCACACATCACATTCCCTGTCTGCTACGGTATTGTAAAGATGAATTGTTTATTAAATAGTATAATTTATATCATACATTACATGGTATCGGAAAGGTTGTGAGAACAACATGGAAAAATATATAAACCTATGTTACATACATATAATTACACATATAAATCGAATGAGCAACGGAATACAATGTGTGGTTGTTTTCTATTAAGTTACTCTATACGATAACCTTATTTTCCGATACGTATGTAATATGTATGTCGAAACAATTTGATTCATATAGCATAATGGGATAAAACAACATAATCAAGGTAAGAAAGTGACGTGGAAGTAACACGGTAGGGCAGGGCTTTGTCCCTGGGGAACGACTGGGAAGATGGTAAATATTAGTTTCCTTCATGAAGTAGGTATCCACGGTTCGTTGGCCCGCACAAATTTGGTATCTGTAGATACGTATAAGCACGAGCTATCTAGACCACTACATCTCATCGCATAAGAGTGGGTTTTTTAAACATTTTGCATGCGTGTTATCTTTATAAAAGCATCGGATCACTTTGATATTATACCGGCTATGTCTACGACGCGCGACGTGACCATCTTTAGTTATAT